ACGATCCAGCTATTCCATTGCTGGGTATTTATACAAAGAACATGAAAACACCAATGCGTAAAGATACATGCACCCCTGTGTTCAATGCAGCATTATTCACAATAGCCACGACTTGGAAGCAACCTTGGTGCCCATCAAGGGACGAATGGATAAAGAAGATGTGGTGTATATATATACACAATGGAATACTACTCAGCCATAAAAAAGATGGAATCTGGCCATTTGTGACAACATGGATGAACCTTGACGGTATTATGCTAAGCAAAATAAGTCAGAGGGAGAAAGTCAAATACTGTACGATCACACTCATAATAACAACAAACACATAGAGACAGAAATTGGATTGGTGGGTACCAGAGGGGAAGGGGGCTGGGAGGAGGGTGAAAGGGGTGATTAGGCACATGTGTGTGGTCATGGATTGTAATTAGTCTTTGGGTGGTGAATATGATGTAATCTACACAGAAATCGAAATATAATGATGTACACCTGAAATTTATATAATGTTCTAAACCAGTTACCGCAATTAAAAAAAACTGTAATGAGAAGTTTTAATTGCTCAAAATTTTAGTGAACTTGCTAAATCTAAAAACCATTAATTCTAAAATAGCAATGTTTTAAATAGTGTGTACACACACACGATACAGAAGACAATACATATTACCAGAGTTTTGGGTGTTTTATTATCTTTCATTGTCAATATTTAGAAAGAACTGAATTACTAATGATTATTTGAAGTTTATTGTTTTATTAGAAAGTTTTTTTTTCTTTTTTTTTTGCTGAGGAAGATTCGCCCTGAGCTAACATCTGTGCCCATCTTCCTCTACTGTGTATGTGGGTCGCCACCACAGCATGGCCATTGACAACTGGTGTAGGTCAGCACCCAGGAACCAAACCCTGGCTGCCGAAGCGGAGCACACCGAACTTAACCACTAGGCCACAGAGTCGGCCCTGAAAGATTTTTCTTTATTAAAATATTTTTTAAAGTTTGCTGAATTACTTTTTCTGGTAAATAGAAGGCTTGGTTCCTCACGCCGCATCCCATCACACACAATGGAATTCCTCTTTCATGTCATAGTCATTAGGAAACTAGGAATCACAAACTCACAGAAGTGAGAGTTAGGAAGTAGATCATCTTTCTACTCAAATTTTTGATTCTGTTGGTGAGAAAGCTGGGGCTCAGAGAAGACAGATGAATTACTTAACTCAGTAAATCTTGCCTTCACTTAATAATTATCTGAGATGCTTGTTACAAGTATATGTTCTTAAAGATAAACTCTATTAATTAATTTAAAAGACAGTGTATGTGCCTGGGCTCTAATCCCAAATTACTGAACCAGAATCTCCAGAATCTTCAGGGGATTCTTATGATGAGGCAAATAAGAAACACCTAAATGAAATGCAAACAATTTTTCTACAATCCAACTATTTTGGTAAATGCAGGACGCACACCAGGCACACCATATGCCATTCTCCCTTCCTGTAAGTGCACACATTACTGATCACCATCTAACAGCCTCCCAGTTTGCTAATGCCAATAGGCAGGATTAATCGCCAATAAAATATTCCCGTGAAGTCCTAATTTATGTGAAGTTGTGTCCTACTCTAAAGTCGAGTCTATGCTCTATGACTGGAGAAGCAGTGGTCAAAGAGTGGGTACTTCCACCACATACAGGACAAGCCATTAGTTTGGGGACATTTTTTAAAAGTACACAATGAAAAGTGTATATGCTTATGCTCCTTCCTTAAAAATGGTTCCATAAATCCACCATCTTACACCCATGTAATCCACAAATTACACCCATGTAAAAAATATGGATATCTCTGCATATTGAGAAAGATAAAAGTAAAGTACAGAGAAAAGTAATTCAATGTTTATTAAGTTTTGAAGACAGACACATTCAGAATTCAATGCTCAATTCGGCTACTAAACCAGAGTTTTAACAAACTCTCATACAGTACTTATCACATGCCAAACACTACTGACAAATATTAACTCACATAATCCTCATAACCATATAGAGTACTACTATTATCCTATTTTAGTGATGAGAAAACTGAGGCACAGACAGGCTGGGGGCCATAACTCAAACCAAGGCGCCTGCCTCCCAAGTCCATGCTCTTAACCACACTATTACAACCTAAAAATGTTCTCCAAGTAGTAGCTTCTCAACTTTTTGTTTTTAATTTGCAGTCCAAAACTATCAAAAAAAAAAAGAAGCTCCCACATTCTAGAAAGCAGATTTATTTGAAATAATTCTGTGATGCTTAGTAGATGTTGTATGACTAGGCACTCTGCTGATGCAATGGCAGTCAACTAAATTCAGAAGCCGAATAAAACGTGTTCTGGTGACAAGCATGACTTGTACTTCCCACCATCACTAATCTACCAGAACCCTAGATCAGACCCGTCATTTTCTCCTGGAAAATACGCAAGGTCATTTTTGCTGCATTCTATTTCTGACAGATGGCCAATTCTTGGTGTCTACACCTGAATACTAAGCTTTTTTAATTTTTTTCTTTACAGAGTCAACTGTTCTGAAGGTCTATTCCATCTACATAATTTTAGAGAATTAAATATGGCCAACAGCTACTGACAAGTTGTTACTGGAACGTTTTGCCTCCTCTTACTTAGGAACTGAATGAGGAGGACTGCAATCTGCCCACGTTACATTTGATCACATACTCACCCTGTTTTCTAACAGGATCACATCTCCTCCTCAGTCTGAAGGATGCCTCGTGTGATACAATCTCACATGTACTCCCCAGTGGCATCTAAGCATAAACCACATCTTATTCCTTCTAGGGCACTGTTTCAGAAAAACATCTGTTTTAGCATCTACCCTAAACAATACGCAGTGACTGCTAAAGAGCTTCCAAGCTAACTGTGAAAATCTTACACAGAATTCCTAACGTGCATCAACTGGTTCGCACATTAACTTCTTTATGTGATCACTACTTGAGTCTTCATTTTAGTGGGATTTGCTAGGCATAGCAGAGGTGGAAAAAGCTTTTCTGCCACAAGAAAACAAAGGCACTTACTTGTGGCAGCACTTCATTATTCCAATTACTGCTAAGCCACTGAGAAATCCTTCAAGGCCAACAGAATTCAGCAATGTAAAAGTCAGACACCTGGTAAATGCTGAGAAAAGTAATAGCAACCTCATTAACAGATTTTTTAAGGC